GGTGGCCAATGGATGAGAGCATCATCACCAGTAGGAAACCCCCAGAGTTGTCCCCCAGGCAGGAGCTGGTTTCCCCATCTAGGCTGGTAATCCCCAGGTCCTGTGTTCAACAATTGAGCACGCACCATATCTGAAGAGCCCCAGAGCCAAGGCAGGGCAGAGTTCTGGGGGCTGGGGGCTTAGTGAGCAAAGTTGGGGAGTGGAGGGAGAACCAGGAATGCAGTGTTTCAGACCCTGCTGCTCGGAAAGTCGGTGAAGGGGACCAGAAGTGCAACTTGAAATAGGTCAAGGAAGGTGTTATTGTGAAACCCGGCAGAAGGCGCAAACCAGGTAGACTGCCGGGGAAAGAACTTTCCGGACGGAATGAGTTTGGCCCTGAGACCCAAGTTTGCCTGGCATGTTGAGGAGCAGTGGAAAAGGCAGTACGGCTGGATTGAAGTGAATAAAGGAGGTGGTGGCACACTACTTACTTGAGGACACACCAGATGTCCTTCCAGCCCTGTGGAGTCACTGACATCATCGGGAGGAGCTGCTGATGGTTTGTGAGGAGCCACCATGTGAATAAGCAAAGGGCCTGGGTTTAGGTTTAGATGGGTCAGTGATGCAAGAAGAGACTGGAAGGGACAGTGGGGTCGCCGAAGGAGGGAGTTTTGAAGGCAGTGCAGGGAAGATAGAGAAGGAGGCATAGGACCCTCGGGGGGGTGGGAGGGGACGGACAAGTTGAAGGGGCAGGGATGCTTCTGTCTGAGGCCTGAGGGGGGTGGGGGACCAAGGGACTAGGTGCAGTGGATGTGAACCACCAGAGGATATGTGGGGTCCTATACTGATTGTGCAGGAGTCCTGGTGTGGTGCTGTGGGTTAATGCCTCAGACTAGTCATTTGAACTGCAAGGTCAGTGGTTCAAGCTCACCAGCTGTTCCTTGGAAACCCTATACAGGGTCTCTATGGGTCAGAATTGACTTGACAGCACTTAACAACAACAATGCAGATTGTGCAGACTACTGCTATGGACTGCAAGGTCCGTTTGAACTGCAAGGTCAGCGGTTCAAGCTCACCAGCTGCTCCTCAGAAACCATATACAGGGTCAATATCTGTCAGAACTGGCTTGATGGCACTTAACGACAACAACATGCAGATTGTGACGTCCTGGTGTGGTACAGTTAATGCACTAAACTGCAATGTCAGTTTGAGCTGCAAGGTTAACAGTTCAAATTCACCAACTGCTCCTTGGAAACCCTGTACAGGGTCTCTTTGAGTCGACTCATGCAGATTGTGGGGTCCTGGTGGGCACTGTGGGATAAAGCACTGGACCTCAAGGCCAGTTTGAACTGCAATGTGGGTGGTTCAAATACAACAGCCGCTCCTCTACACAGGGTTGGCACTTAACAACAACAACATGCAGACTGTGGAGTCTTGGTGTGATGAAGCACAAGGTCGCTTTGAACCTCAAGGTGGGTAGTTCAAACTCACCAGTGGCTCTTCAGAAATCTGTGAGTCAGAACAAACCCCCACCCCCGCACTTAGCAGCAATCACATGCATGCAGATTGTAGAAACAAACCTCATTGGAGCTTATTATTTATGTATCATTTATTGCTTGATTGTGGTGAAACTATGCACCAAAACACACACACCACTTCCACATTTAAAATGAAAAGACATTGATTACATTTTTCATGTAAAGACCATGTTAAGTGCTGTCTAGTCAGTACTGACTCATAGCGACCCTGGATGGGATTTCTGAGGTTTTAATCTTTACGGACCTTAATGTCAGTGGTTCGAAACTACCAGCTGCTCCGCGGGAGAAAGATGAGGCTTTCTACTCCCGTAAAGATTTACACTCTCGGAAACCCTGTACAGGGTCGCTATGGGTTGGAACCGACTCGACGGGACTTAACAACAACAACAACAACAATCTTTACGGGAGCAAAAAAAAAAAAGCCTTCTCTTACTCTTACAGAGCAGCTGTGTGGGCTCGAACTGCCAGCCTTGTGGTTAGCAGCCTAGTGTAGTGCTTACCCTACAACACCACCAATGTTCCTAAAGTCACCATGTATTTATGCACATTCACATAAATTCACAGGAACTTTACTTTGCCTCCCCGCACGTTGTTAGGTGCCATCGAGTTGGTACCGACTCTTAGCGACCCTATGCACAACAATAAAACATTGTCAGATCCTGGGCCAACCTCACAACTGTTACTACGCTTGAGCACATTGATGCTGCCTCTGTGCCAATCCATCACGTTGGGGGTCTTCCTCTTTTTCTCTGACCCTCCACTTTACCAAACATGATATCTTTCTCCAGTGACTGGTGTCTCTTAACATGTCCAAAGTATGAGAGACGAAATCTGGCCATTTTAGCTTCAAAGGAGCACTCTGGCTGTATTTCTTGCAACACAGTTCTATTTTGGGAGAAATACAGCCGGAGTGCTCCCCGCATAAGTCAGGGTAAAAAAAAGTTACACATTTAAAAAAAATTTTTTAATGTTTTATTGTGAATTATGTGATAATTTACATGGGAGAACATTAGCTTTACATTCATCCTATCGTAAATAGTTTCATTGCCATGATGACAATCCCCTCCATGCATCATCAACCAACCAAACGGTATACCCTGCAAGCCTGCCACACCGATCGTCAGCACACAGCCCCTCTCCCTCTCTGTGTCTAAAGTCCTCAGCTGCTCCATCTCTCCACGTCATCGTCTCTGCCTCCTAAAAAAGTTATACATTTGAATAGCAAAATTCCCCAGACTGGCTGAACTCAAACAAAATGTGTTCATTCTGAATGGGCACTCAAAATAATCTTTTGTACCTCAAACTTGAACCAACTGAACAACAGGAACAATGTCTTTTAATTTAGATCTGTTTCAGAAATTGGTTTTACTTTTGAGACTAGCTGAAATCAGATGTCCACTTAGTGATTACTCCATGTTTCTTCCCAAACCATCAACCTGACTGGCTGCTTACAGCTGCTTCTGTGCGTCTAAAGGTAGGAGGCAGGCGTGGGGGCTCTCAACTCATTGTCACTGAAAGCTCACTACAGACACATTTGGCTTTCTTTTTTTAAATGGTAACTAGTAAAGTTCAATAGTCTTCCACTCAAACCCACTAAATCTGTTAGTAGGTGTCTGCCAGTCAGTTCTGAATCATAGGGTTTTCCGAGGAGCAGCTGGTGGATTTGAACCCCTGACCTTTTTTTGGTTAGCTTATCCACAACACCACACCAGGATTCTACTAAGTCTGAGGGGGCTTCAAAAAGTTTGTGTAAAGTATCCCACTATCTTTTCATTTCAATTTTCCACAAACTTTTTAAAGCCCCTTCTGGTTGGGCAGCGGTATTAGGCCCTCAGTGATGGCAGTGGGCAGGGAGGTTCGAGACTAGCAGGTTACGGATCAAAGTAGTTCCTACATGCCGTCTCCAGACACAAAGAGTGCGCGGGGGAATGTTGATTGAGTTTGGCATCTTCCTCATTGGAAGCTGATCCTGTTTTTGCCCCAGTTACAACTCATGTATGTATTCAGTAAAGATCAAGTGCTTACTATACCAGGAACTGTTTTAAGAGTTCACCATTCTAGCCTGGAGGAGTGTAAATCATAGGGCTGTAGTTAGTGTGGTTGGGGGCTTCATGAAGTAGTGCCAACAGAGAGGGAGAGCCCTTTGAAGATAAACTGCTTGTTCCTGAGGTACCCCTGTAGCAATGGAAGATTTTGTTGATGTTAAGTGTCGTCTAGTTGGTTCTGACCCATAGTGTTTCTGAGGAGCGACTGGTGAGCTTGAACCATCAACTTTGCGGTTCAAACCGACTTTGCAGTCCAGTGCATTAACCCACAGCGCCACACCAGAAGTCGAATGGAAGCCTTGGTGGTTATATGCTGTGGAGTCAGTTCTGACTCATAGCGACCCTGTACAGGGTTTCCGAGGCTGTAAGTCTTTACAGGAACAGAAAGCCTCATCTTTCTCCTGCGGAACAGCTGGCAGTTTCAAACTGCTGACCTTGAAGTTTGCAGCCTGATGAGTAACCACTACGCTACCAGAGCTCCTTAATGGAAGCCTTGGTGGTGGCGTGGTGGTTATGTGCTGTGGAGTCGGAACCGCCTCATAGTGACCCTGTACAGGATTTCTGAGACTGTAAATCTGTAATGGAAGCCTTGTTGTTGTTAAGTGCCATCAAGTCAATTCCGACCCATAGCGACCCTGTATAGGGTTTCCAAGGAGCAGCTGGTGAGCTTGAACCGCCAACCTTGCAGTTCAAATGGCTTTCCAGTCTGATGCATTAACCCACAGCACCAGAGGACAGTGTCTCCCCTGGCCTGATCTGGGGGCTTGCTCCTGCCCCCTGGCCCCCCACACTCCCATTCTTAACAGCAGCCTCAATGTCCCAAGAATCTTGCCCCCATAAGAGGCCCAACAGTGTCAGACTGGTAATGACCCCAGAAGTTATGGGACATTCCTGGACTCTAGTCCTGGAGATGTTTATTCTGTGGGTGGAGAGAGAGAAAAGAAAGATGTTGCAATCTACTTTATCCGCATCGGATACGTCACTGGGGCCGAGGAGAGGGAGTTCTGAGTGATTAATGGAGGCAGGGGAAAAAAGGGGGCATTCTAACACAGACTCCACCAGCTTTGTCAGCCCTGGCTCAGGGCACCTCACTCCCTAGGTGCCTAGCCTCCCTCCCCCAACTTAATAACAAGCCCGAAACTGAAACTTAAGGCAGGATTTGCAGTTCAGTCGGGGATGAGTCACTGTTAAGAGCCATTGCACTAACTGGGAAGTGGCACAAGAGAGGCAGGCAGGTGACAGGGGACAACAGGAACAGCTGGTCCGGAGGTTTCTTGGAGGTAGACTGCTGTGGGAGGGAGGACTTCTGCCTTTTCTTAAAGCTGCTGGACTGGGCTAGGAGGCTGAGGAGACCATCTGGGGTGGGGTGAGGCCACCTTCCCCTGTTGCCAGGTGTTTCTGGCCAAGGGTCGGGCAGAGGGTGAAGGTGGGCTGGGTCATGGCAGGTGTCCAGGAAGTTGGTTCAGCCACATGTGAGACCCTCCTGCACCCCTCTGCAGTGCACCTGAGGTCCCCCAGAGCATGGCATACCTGGAGGCGCTGGCCATGGACTGTGAGATGGTAGGAGTCGGGCCCAGACGGGAGAGCGGCCTGGCCCGCTGTAGCCTTGTGAATGTCTACGGTGCTGTGGTCTATGACAAGTTCATCCGGCCTGAAGGCAACATCACCGACTATCGAACCCTGGTCAGTGGGGTCACGCCTCAGCACATGGAGGGGGCCACACCATTTGCCGTGGCCAGGCTGGAGGTGAGTGAAGGCAGAGGGGGACTGTGCACACCTCCTCTTTCCCCAGCTTCTGGGGTCCCAGCCATGGAAATCCCTGCTACTCCATGTGGGGAGCCACCAAGGCATGGAGAAACCAGTTGGAGTCTCCATCACACCCCCAGAAACCCCCTCCCCCATCACCAGATAGCCTCAGATTCACAATTGGAAGCAACTTTGGGGGCATCTGGTCTACCTGTAGTGATGGAGTCCCTGAGCCCCACTTGATGTTCCCCACAGTGAGGGCTAGATCTCCATTCCTTCCCAGAAACCTGGGTACCACCGGTGGATGCAGGCTTGATGCTCTTCCCAGGCTGGACCTGGCTCCCTGCTGCCTTGAGGGGACTTCCCCAGCAAAGTCTCTGGCCTTCCGGGTTATGCAGGATAGTAGGTCAGAACCTCATGGGCTGAGGGGTGATCTTGCCCTCACACTAAAGTCCTGGATCTGGTAGACGGCCCACCCACTTGGTTCAAGGCCAACATTTTAATACTCTTGTCCTTTATCTTGTGCTTTCTTCTCCAGGCCCAACTTTCTGTTTCTCTGAATAACTAAACAGAAAGTAAACTCAGCCGCTCGGCAGGTGTCATCTGTGGGAAGGCTCATAAGAGCAAGCTAGCATCTGGGTTTCTAGGTTAGTAGGACAGGAGAAAGTCTAAGAGCTGAGGACTGAGGCCCACAGTTTTATTCTACATGCCCCAAATGGTCCAGCTCCAGGCCTGGGAGACACAGAACAGTAACCAGTGAGTACTGAGCACTTACCATGTGTATGACGCCCTCCTGAGAACGTGACACCTGAGTTCCTTCACTCCTCACCAGGCACCCCTATGGGGTGGATTCTCAGAGCTGCTGATTTAGCAGTAGAAGGACTTGTGATTTGAAACCTAGCTCCGTTAGTTACTAGCTGTCTTAGTTTCTTAACAGAAACTCCCCAAATGGCCAGAAGTCCAAATTCTGGGTGTGACCCTAGGGGGAGGTCTTTGCTTTGTCAACTCCAGCAGTCCTTGGACTTCCTGAGCTTATAGCATCCTCTGCCTCTGTCCCTGTCAGATGGGGTTTGATTTCCCTGTGTCTGTGTGTCTGTGTGTCTATGTTGCTTTTTGTAGAACTCCTCATGATTATTAGGGTTAAAAGCCCGTCCTACACTGATGGGACCTCAGCTGATTATCTGAAGGAACTTCAAAATGTTCATGGAAAAATGTATTGAAAAGACCCTGGAGTTTTTCCTTGCACTTTTTGAAGCCTCCTTGATTTATGGCAAGCCAATCTGACTTGATGGCACTTAACAACAACAACAATTACATTACATTGCATAGGATTACACCAGCAGATACAGAGTTTCCAAATCCAATACAGATTTTGGGTTTGTTGTTAAATGCCATCGTGTCGCTTCTGACTCACAGTGACCCTGTATAGGGTTTCCAAGGAGCAGCTGGTGGGTTTGAACGGCCCACCTTGTGGTTCTCAGTGCAGTGCTGATCTTACGGCGTCACACCAGGAGTCCATTTTGAGAGCAGGACCAGCCAAGTTGTCAGAGCAGCCAAGTTCCTTGGGTTGGACAAGTAACCTTGACCTCTCTGTACTCAGTCCCGTCCACTTTAAAGGAAGTGGGGATGGTGACAGGACAGCCTCACAGGACTGTTGTGAGACCTGTTGTTATTCTAGAATTTCTAAAATAATGCTCAAGGAGCTCTGGCGGCACATAGTGGTTACCAGTTCGGCTGCTCGCAGCAAGATCAGCAACTCGAAATTATCAGCCGCTTCGTGGGAGAAAGACGAGGCTTTCTGCTCCTGTAAAGCTGCACAACCTCGGAAACGCTATACGGGGTCACTATGAGTCAGAACCAACCCATGCACATCACCACCAGCACCACCCCAATAACAATGCTTAATAGAAACTACTGTTTCCTTTATCCCATGTTATAGATGGAAGGAGCTCTGGTAGGCATAGTGGTTATGAATCCGGCTGCTAATCTCACGGTCAGTAGTTTGAAACTACCAGCTGTTCCATGGGAGAAAGATGAGGCTTTCTGCTCCCATAAAGATTTACAGCCTCGGAAACCCTGTACATGGTCGCTATGAGTTGGAACCAACTCCATGGCACACAGCCACCACCGCCACCACCATAGATAAGGAATGTGAGGCTCACTTGACTGAGTAACTTAACATGAATAACAAAGCTAGAATGTACGAGCTGGTCAGAATTCAGAGCTCAGACTTGAAATGTGTAGGATTGTTGCCCATCAAATGTGTCTCTACTGAATTGAGAAATGCCTGGGGTGTAAAAACCCACTGGATTTCAAAGACTTTTGTGTAAAAAGGCACTGTAATAGATCTTAGTAATCTCTTACTTTGATTACAGATTGAAATGATATTTCCGATGTATTGGGTAAAAGAAAATGTATGACTAAAATTGTTTTTACCTACGTAGCTTTACTTTTAAAAATATGGCTACTTGGCAATTTGGAGATCCCTGGTGGTTCAGTGGTTAAGCGCTTGACTGCTAGCTGGAAGGTTGGTGGTTCATGCGGCAGTCTGTCCCCGTAAAGACTGCAGCCTTGGAAACCCTCGGGGGTAGGTCTATTCTGCTCCGTAGGCTTGCTGAGTCACAATTGACTTGCTGGCAATGGGTGTTTTGATGTTGTTGTCGAGTCATTTCTGACCCATAGCGACCCTGAACAGGGTTTCCGAAGCTGTAAATCTTTACAGGAGCAGAAAGCCTCATCTTTCTTCTGCGGAGCAGTTGGTAGTTTCGAACTGCTGACCTTGCGGTTCATAGCCCGATTCGTAACCACTACGCTACCAGAGCTCCTTGTGTTGACTAGGCAATGTAAGATGACATAGGTAACTCACATTTTATCTCTACTGGATACCACTGTTTAAGCGGCACCAAGAGTACTGTGGGGCCTGAGGACGGAGGGCCACAGTGTCTGTGGAAGTACCTCAGGAGACTGGTGGTGTTAGGCCCCCTAGTGGCCTAATCAAGTAGGAGACCCCAAAAAGATCATCAGGACTCGAGTTGGATGCAAAAGCAAGAGGTTTATTTACCAACGCGCTGAGGTCCACCTTCACAGACTCCTAAAACCAGGAGACAAAGGTGACATTTGCCAACTCGCTGGGGTCCACCCTCACATAGACTCTTGAAAACAGGAGTTGAGGGCGACCCTGACTCACTATACACACAAGTTTTTATAGGGTTTCAGGGGGCATAATTGCACAGCACTATAGATACAGTTTTTGATTGGTTAACAATTGGCAAAGGATGAGATGTTACAGTTTAATTGGTCAGTACTGGTGGTCTTTCTTAGGCTAGGGCAAAGGAAAACATCTGGCATCTGGCCTTGGGTTGTTCTGTCTATTACTTGTCTATGGCTCGCTGTTGCTAGGGGTGAAAGGATATTCTAAGGCAACATGAGCTGATTTAGCACGTTCCTGGAACAGGAGGACATGTTCAGGCTAATGTACAGAATGGAGATTGACCTTGTCTCTGGAGGGAACTAAAAACTGAGGCCTTCTATCAAAAATGCTTCTTGAAGCCTGACTAAAGTTTGGTCAAGTAGCTAGGCAAAATCAGTTAGGGCCTTACAGTGGTATTTAAAAAGGCGTGGCCACAGGGAGCTGCGGTAGGTATCTAGTGTTACCGTAACACAGTATCATCCTGCTAACCACAGGTCGGTGGTTCAAACCCACCAGCTGCTCCTTGGAAACCCTATACAGGGTCGCTATGAGTCAGAACTGACTCGATGGCACTTACCAACAACAAGTACAACAGAAGGAGTCCTGGTGTGTGGGATAACGCACTGGCCTGCAAGGGCAATTTGAAATGCGAGGTCAGCAGTTCAAACCAACCAGTCACTCCTCGGAAACCTTATACAGCAGGGGTGGGGACTGCCCGGCCTGCAGGCTGTATGTTGTTGTTTAGTGCTGTAGAGTCAGTTCCAACTCAGCGACCCTGTATAAGGTGTCCGAGCCAGGACTCCATGGGCTAGATAAGGCTGGTGAAATCACGTGGTCTGGCCCTACCAAGGCAACTGCAATTCCAGCCATCACATTAGGGGTGAGTGCAGTAACTGTTTGATTGCATATAGCAGGCTTATGTTAGAGTTGATGATTTTGTATAGCCCTCGAAAGATGTTATAAATTTTGGCAGAACAAAGATTCCTCCCCTCACCCACCCCTGCTACACAGGGTTGATATGAATTGGAACCGACTGGACCACACTTAACAACAACAACACTACTCTAACAGAAAGGAGCTCTGATAGTGTAGTGGATTACAAGCTGGGCTGCTAACCACAAGGTCAGCAGTTCGAATCTATCAGTCTCTCCGTAGGAGAAAGATGAGGTTTTCTGCTCCCTCAGAAACCCTATACAGAGTCTCTGTATTGCAACTGACTCTGTGACAAACAGGCAGCCACACCCACTACCCTATAACAAGAATTTCCATAAGTGGATAGTTTTACCAAGCAGAAATGTACCCTCTCACAGCTTAGAAGGGTGGGTAGAAGTACAAAAGCATCACTCCAGGGGAAGCTTCTTCACGGAGCGCCCTCTCTGGGTGTCCAGGCTCTACAAGACTCTCAGTACAAGGAGCCAAAGGACATGTTCCTCTCCTGGCTCTTCTTTGTGGGTGGTGGTAAGTCCCTTTCTCTCTGTCCTCTTCTCTCTCCTTCCATCTAGTGATGCAAGCCATGCCTCAGGGAAGCGCCCCTTACATGGGTCAGCACTGCAGCCTGACTTAACAGTAGCCCCCTTTCCATGAACCATGGCTGCTCACATGAGATCACAGCATGGATCGGGATGATGACATCATTGAATAACTGCCAAATCACTGAGAATCACGGCCTGGTCCAGCTGAAATATTTGTGGGAGGACACAATTCAGTCTATGATAGGAGCCATTGGAGAGTCTTGAGGAGGATGTGGAGACTAGAATGGGGGTAACCGGAGGATGGATGTGAGATGGGGGCAAGGAGAAGAGGCAGAGAC